GCCCGTGGCCCCCCCCAGCCATCTCTGCCCTCGATCAGCACCCCCTACACCAATCGGGAGTGGGGCTGGCTTGCCAACCTCCCATGGCCCCTCCCCTGGCTGCCGACCCCCGATAGACCCTCTCACCCCATTTGGGGGAGGGGCCGGCTGGCCTACCATGCATGAATTCGTGCACTGGGCCTCTAGTCTTATATATTGTAAAAGGTATTTGAGATAATATTATGCCTCAGTCTTTTAAGCATGTATGCTTGGCAGTGATTAGGACAAGTCTTATATACAATAGACAACTGATAAATGCTTATTAAATTGAATTATAGGACAATTATTAAACCCAAGTGGAAGCCTGAGATTGAAAATAGCATATTTTAGCTCTATAAAAGTGAAAATTATGTTAAAATATATTTCTCCTGGTCTGTGCCAAAATTCAATTCACTTCTGTGTGGCTATACCCAAATACCCTTTAACCATCCAATTTGATCAAAAACCTACATTTTGGACAACTTTGGAAATGTGTAGAATCATCTGCACTAATGAGAAGAGAGGCTTTTGATCTCTTCCGCCATGAAAGTGATTAGTGTAGTCTTCTTAAAATCTCTAGTCATTTTACGACATCTGTATCAAAAACCTTCAGTGTCCCCCAGAATTTACAGAATAAAACCCACGCTCCTTAGCATTCTCATCCCACCTGTACTCTCTGGCTTTATATCTCCCTGTTCTCTTTGGTGCACTCAGTGAATTGGTGTCTTTATGACATTTTAGCTTTTACCTCAGCAGGGCTCTCATTGCCATTTCAGCAGTTATTTTACTTGTTTCTATTCAGTGGTCTTTCATTTTTTATAGCAGCTCTATCATTTCTTACCTGCCCTCCTCAAGTCTTCTCCCTCCCCTCCGCATTCTTTTCACTTACTACAAGCAACCTAATCTCTTCCGTGCACTTTGGCTTCAGAGCCTCCAATATCTCTTCTCCCTACAATGTTGTCTCTACCTATGATGTCTTTTATTGACTTACTAGAAGCCCAGTGCATGAAATTTGCACACAAGTAGGGTCCCTAGCAGATGCTGCCTGCTGGCTGGGGCCTCCCATCCCAGGCTGCCGGCTGCCAGCTGGGGCCTTCCTTCATCCTGTGCCGCCCCCTGGTGGTCAGCACAATGTCCTAGTGAGTGATCAAACTCCAGGTCAGTTGAACTCCAGAGGGGACACTTTGCATAGGGCTTTTATATATATAGATTCTCTATCAAACCTCAGAAAGAGGGATATTTTATTTACTGTGACTACTATTGTTGTTATTAGCGATAGAAACAAAATGTATTGAGGAGTTAGTGTAAGAGACCACGCTAAGCAAATTTCACATAGCATCTCACAACTTCCTCACAACCCTATGAGATTCGTACTATTATTAACTCCACATTATGGATGATGAAACAGGCCAAGTAAGGCTGCAAAGCTTGTCCAAGGTTACACAGTAAGTAGTAGATTCGTAATTCAAACCTAGGAATCCTGACTTCATAGACAGAGCTTTTGACCCCTGTGCTGTACTGGTGTTTGTGTGGGTCATTTGTGCATGTGTGTGAGTTGCTCTGCTAAGTGCTAATTTCCTTATCTCTGCTTGGGGCATTATTATCCCCTGACTACTTTAGTTCTCTTGTTCTGTTGCCTGTTCAGTTTTTCAGTTTCCACTCTACTCTTCTCTCCAGAAAAAAAAATATATTCTTCAGTCACTCAGAACCTGAAAATGAATGAATGGATAGCTGGATAGATGTTTGAATAAAAATCCTTCTTTGGCCCCAATGGTCCCTGATACCTACTTCCCCCTCTCCATTTCCTAGCACCAGTTTTTTTTTTCAAAGTTTAGCTCCTTTGACTCTGTACTTCCTTACCTTCAATGAACAGCATCAGAATTCTGCCTTAAATAATGCACTGAAACAGATCTATGAGAGTTCCTTTATTGCCTCCTAATTTCGTCAGATCCACTCACTTCTCTCTATCTGTGTAATAATTTTACCACTGTAGGCCAAGCCAGCATCATCATTGCCTTTAACCATTATGATATACTTTTAGCCTGTTTTCCTGCTTGCAATCTTGCCCTTCTCCAAATCAGTCTCCGCAAAGCTGTCGATGTGACATTTTTAGAATGCATTTTTGTTGTATCTTCATACTATTTATCTGCGTAACGCGTCGGTGATCTGGATGGCACTCAGGCTACAATATGAACTCCTTATCCCAACTTACCACCTCTCCTACTTTTATCTCCTGCTGTTTGCTTTCTTGCTCATTATGCCTCAGCCACGTTGTATTTCTCACTTTTTAAAACTTACCTGCTCTTTCCTGCCTCTGGCCCGGTTATGCATGCTGCTCCCTGTTACTCCCACTCCCTGCCTGTCTCTCTCCTGCTTATTCTTCGAGTGAGTCTCAGCTTAAATCTCATTCTCCCGGTGACACCTTCATTTACCTATCAATCAAAATTAGGTCTCCCTATTAAATTCTCTCACAGCATGATTTTTCTTTTCCTTTCTAGAAATTATGGTTTTTAATTAAATGTTTATTTGCAAGGTTTTTTAATTTAATGTCTATAAACCCCTACTAGATTGCAATTTCTACAAGTGCATGTGTCATGTTAATTTTATTCACGTGATATGTACTTAAATGTTTCTTGAATGTATTAGTATGAAGGCAAATTCAAGTGGACTCCTTTCAGGCCTAATTCCTTATCCTTGTGGCCCTTGATAACATTAAAGGATTCAGCC